AGAAATCTCTGGAGCTCAAGGTTGAAGTCCTTGGTGCTCTCTGAGTTTGCTGCTTTGCTCACTCATGTGGAGTAGTCAGATAATGAAATGTCTGCAAGGAAACCACCAAGCTCAGACAGCACTAAGGACTCTATATATTGGGGAATAATAATAATGTATTAAGCAGGAGAAATAAATAAAAGTATAAAAAGAAGCAGGTTATTATTCTCTGTAAACAGGAACAGAAGACTAGGAGGACTAAAAGGAGAGTTGACTCATCAATCTTCCTGTTCTCTCCCTGTTTCTAGCTGATCATCAACAGTGAAAATGTAAATAAAGCTAATAGGAGACTACAGTATGAGTGTATCTCCTCCTAAGTACCACAATCCAAGTCAAGTTGAGTTCCTCTCTCCAGGCTTGTTCTCAGGGATCAGTTTCATAACCAACTGAGCTTGGAATAGGCTGACTCTGCCCATCTCTTTCTAATCTGCAAGATCAGAACCATTAAGCACAGCCCTGAAAGAATCCAGCTACAGATATAGTTCTGATTGAATTCTTGCAGCACTTTTGCCTTTGCATCCTCCCAACACAGTGGCTGTATTCCCATAACAGTCTTATTAATCTAGTTACTGAATTAACCCATTTTCTGGGATGGCCTCACATGCTGGATCACCAGCTGGCCAAATGACCTAGTTTTGCCTCGCTCAAGCCACAGAAGTTAGCATTCTTGTAGAAATCCATCTACTCTCTCTCTTTACCTGGCTAAGTGTGTTGTGTTAACACAGTGAAAATCTGGGCTGGGCCTGAGAGAAGTTTAAAATCAAAAAGTGAAATAATATTCACCATGTCTTCTTACCTGATTTACACTGTTGACCATTTGAAAAACCCACGGTCTTAAATTTTCCTTGTGCTTCTTGACCTACAGAAAAGATAAAAATGTTAAGATGAGATCATAATTATAGGAAGAAGGGAAAGAAGGAGGGAGAGAAAGAACATATCAGTGAAAGGATCATTGAATTGTTGATGTAATAATAATTTTTATCCAAGCAATCCAAAGTATTCTTTTGTGCTGATTTTTTTAATTTACATTTGTGCCATTAATATATTAAGGTTTTTAACTTTTCAGCAGCATACATGGGCTTTTTTCCTGGTTGGATAAAATTTTGGTCAGCCTACTGAAATACTTTTCTAAACTGGATGCTATATTTCCATGTTCAGAGATGTGTGAGATAAACATTCTTCACTATACATCTTTTTCTTCATGTGTTGTTAATTTGGACAAACAAAGAGTGCAGGAATGTTTCAAAGGAACCTACAGAACTGTTTAACCAGTAAGGGATAAAAATAAATTTAGATGGTATCCAGGAAGAACAAATGTGCAAATGTCTCTTAATTTTGTAAATGTTGGTTGGGTCCAATAACAAAAAATATGAAAGTTTATGATAAAGCACATTTTAAGAAAAAGCCAGATAGGATGTTTGTTAATCTCTTCAAAAATGCCCACATTAAAAAAGTCAGAAACAAAATGCTGTGCTCAATGCAGAAAGAAAATGGAGAGATATCCAGGATACTTACCATTCTGTGGTCCGCAACTATTGCAAGCTTAACGTATCTTCGGGGGAATCTTTGTTGCTAAACAGAACAATAAACAAAAGGCTGTTTAGACATGTTGTTCCCAGCAGCCAAAAGGAATGTTGGTCAACCTCAGATAATCAGAAAAGTGCTTGTTTTACTCTCTGGTCAAAATACTTGAACTTTCAGAAATATTGGTTCTCTCAAGAAGACATTTATAGGGAGACAGCTGGTTAAAATTTTATCCCTGGCCCTTGAGCCTTTCGGAACTGAGCCCTGGAAGTGGCAGGTGAGCGCCTGCATCTCCACTTGCATGACCGGTGAGCAAGCATGGGTGGGTGTGCTCCATTTGCATGAGTGGGTGCGTGTGCCCACTGCTCGCACAAATAGATCTGGGTGCACGCATGACCCCGCTTCTCACGTGGAACCATCCCCTCCCCCCCACCTGTCCGCAAAGCTGGAAAGGTTGGGGAACTCTGACTTAGAGAAAGTACTGATAAAGTTTTGAGGAAAAAGTACATTATGCAATGGATTGTCAAGCACAAACAAAAGTGGTCTCCTTTAAAAAAAATCACTTTCTTTGTATTAATAAGGTGTGGCACTTGTTTCCAGTTAATCTGTTTTTGGAATTTATGATGCCTACATTTAAAGATAAAGGTATATATGAATACCTAATTCTGAACCGAATTTAATAGGAATAAGAACAGGCACATGAGGAAATTGCTCTCTTTGACCTGTTTTTCAGCCTGTCTAAATGATGCTCCAATGACTTTCTCACCTTTCCTTCCCTTTCTCAAACAAAGGATCCCAACCAATCACATGAGAAACACGGTGATGTGGTCATGCTATGGAACCAATTAGACCTTGCCTGCAATCATATCACACTACGCATCAAAGACAAGGTAAGGGGAGGCAA